GGTGGCTGAAAGCCAAGTAGACAAACAGATAAAGATCTTGGCAGCAAGTCCGACAAAGCTTGGCAGCACTTCAAACAAACTCTGGCAGCAATCCAGCCTGCCGAGTTTGTTTCTCTTTAGTCCAGTTTTAGTCTCTTTAGTCTGCAAGAAGAACGTGACACAAGCAGTCTCTTTTATAGTCTGGAGAGGAGCCTAATGACCATCAGCTGAGCATAATTACCTCCTGTAATTACGTAGTTGTTCTTGACGCTAAGTAGCCCTTCAACGGCGTGCATCCCGGAACAACTCACAGTTGGTTTCTGGATCACTCTCCCTTGTCTCCTCCCCACTGATCCAAGGCTTAGGCGCCACCTGGTGGCCAACCAGTCTTTCTGCACCCTGCTTAGAGTCAGAACTCTGTCCAGGGTCCTCCACATCCTCCAGGGCCGACTCATAGGACCCCTCGCGGTCGGAGTCTGGTGGCAGCTCCAACGGCTCCTGCTGGGCCACAACAGATATGGATAGAGGCAATGTGGTGCTTGCTCTAATCTTAATATAGGTTTGACTGGGAGTGTACTAGGTGCAATCTAAACTGAAAATTGCCTACCATAATTTTCCAATGGCACTATCCTCATTTATATATTTTATATAGCTTGAAATATTAATATAGATTTTTTTTGGAATTGCTTCCAAATATTTAACAGAACTGGGAAAACAAAGTATACAATATTATTGTACTGTTTCTACAATTATAGGTGAAAATTTTTGATCAGAATTAAAAGGGCCCAGAGATCTTTGTCATGTAACAATAAAATGATTAATGTGCTGCATGTCATATAATTGCATAATTTGCTCTCCTCATATATCTAAAATATATCAGTATCTGTGGATAACCATATCTGGCTTTTGTAGGCCAGGTTTGGAAACACTGTAAGAAGGACTCTGCAAACTTCAGGAAAAACTTTTTTTTGGACCCAGCACATTCACAGCACCTCTTTGCTCCTTATGAAAGCAATCCAGCTTTTTTTGGGGGGGGATGGGTTTGATCAAATAATGACACTGATTTAAGGAATCAACTGATTCAAGTTAATGAGACTTTAAAGTAAAGGTACCTGTCATTTACACAGAAGCTAGAGAAAGCTTCTTTCATGAATAGCAGATGATAAATTAAGCAAGGATTAGAAATGAATATTTAGAAAAGGATTATTAGTAGAAGAGAATATTTGTATCTCCAGGTTGAATTGAGGTGTCTTTGGTGCTCTCTGAGCTTGAAAACCAAGGAATTGGTATTGATTATTGAATTTGCACCCAGTAACAAGAGCTAATATTATGTTCTCAGAATGAAAAAAGTTCAAAAGTTTTGATCCATTATATAATATAATAACGTAACAATTTAATGAATTTACTAAAATATGGGACGTTCACTGAGTATTATTTTGGGTTTTGCTCCATTTTGATTCAAACCAAACTAAAGGTAAAGTAAATACTTCAACATCTTTGATTACTACTGTTAGCATTTAATAAGATGACTTACTCCTTCATATGTCTCAGCTTGGTTGTTGCCATAGTATTATTGAGAGTTCTCAATCTCACAGGAGTCACTTCAGTGAAACTTCTAGTTCCTACAAATAAATGCACAATCTAATCAGCTTGTTGTTGTCTGCATTCTGCAGAACCAAAGCATTATCCAAGGGCAAACAAAAAGTAAGCAGCAATTAACTTTTTCATCTGAAAATGCTGCATTAATTAAAGATTATTAGGTTATTAAATGCATATTAATATAATTTAATTTAACAAGTCCATGAAACACAATTATTTTTAATGGGGTAGAACATCCCCAAGCAACAATGTTTTATAAAAGAGGCTTATATGCATTTCTTACAAATGTATATGTACCTCATTTCCTTCAACAGACATTTATGGAGTCAAGTTGTTTTGTGGCCATTATTAGCTTACTACTATTTATTCTTTTTCAACAGTCTTTACCAAGAGTCCAACCAAGAGTCTAGGAATATGATAATATTTCCATGGAAGTTCCAAACAAGATGTTTTTGTCAATTATTACTGAATAATAGCAATAGAGTTCATGCAATGGATACACAGTTTCACAGAACTATATGTCCATGTAAACTATATGTTACATTGCAACTTCAAGCATCTAATATTTCATGAACATTCACATTGATTAATGTTAATGAAGAGAAATAATTTGCTTTAGCATCTTATCTAACACCATCTGCAATTACTAATTAAACCCCAGAGACACTAAATAAAATATATTCTTTGATTGAATAATTTCTTGAAATTATTTCAGTTATTTATTACTGGAAAAAGGTAATAAATGAAATTCTTTACATGAAAAGAAACCATAATTTTAACCCCACATAAACAGAAATGGATAGCAATAATATGGATAGCAATAACAGTAGACTTATATACCGCTTCATAGGCCTTTCAGGCCTCTCTAAGCGGTTTACAGAGTCAGCATATTGCCCCCNACCCGTGTCAAACTAAAATTAAAAAACATTTAAATAAAAAAAAAAGTTCACCATCATTAGCCTCTATCTTATTGTATGTATTCTATGTTTTAAAATGACACGAAATGCTATGTATAGAACCACTTTTTCCTTTTGTGCCTATATTTCTTTTTGCTCCATCAGTGAAAGTGAAGATAAAAATTCTGAGCCTTATGATATCTATATTCAAGCTTTCAAGGATGTCCAAATTCTTACAGTTACCATGGGACCAAGAATAAAGTACAATAAAACAAAATAAAAACTACAAATCTATTGCATCTAGAGGCAGAATCTGTTGATTATAAATAAGAAAATAAGAATAAAATGTATATATTACCATCACATAGGAAGTGTATTAACAATATTTCTAAATACCATATACAAACATACAGGTAGTCATCATTTAACAACAATAATTGGTGCCAGAAAATCCAGCATTAAGTGTGACATGGTTATAAGCTGAAAAACTACATGATCATGGAACGTAGTGATGGCAGTTCCTGCAGTCCTGATTGCCATTGTTATATTAATATCACATAGGTTGTTAAGTGAGGAGCTCATCTGACTTAATTTTTTTTTAAATAATAATTTTTTTTAATACAATTTGTCACACAAACATCACTAAAATACATTTTTATAAATTAGAGGACTATTTGTAAGACTGTCACCTATGGATGACTTGGTGAATCAGGTCATTCTGTTCTGAAACCCTGTGATAGATTTATCTTGTATCTTTCTTTCAACTAACAGAATAATTAGTTCTAACAATTGAGTTCTGTTTTTTATGTTTTTTTATCCTGATGATATTATTATATTTTGCTTAAACATTTTAAAATAGTATTTTTAACTTTTTAACTTAAAATTACATGTAACAATAAAATTTATAAAACAAGTGAACATAATTCAGTCAGCTCAAACTAATCATATATAAGCTAAATAACACATGCTAATAAACTAAGGTTAAAAATAAATACTAGACAAAGCAAAAAATAAATATATTTTTCTATAACTCATTGAATAATAATACAACTTAAGCAAACCATTAAAGCTTAATTTTTAGAATTAAATTGAGCCCTGAGCAAATCGTTCAAAAGTTTTTCAAGAATCATTATAAAGTATCTGATTAGGAATAACTATTCCATTTTCATTCATATTTTCCAAAAGACGTTTATTGTGCCATTTAAAAAATCAAATGCTTGTAAGAACTATATTCAAATTTAAATTTCCTACCAACAATGTGCAAACATATCTTACCATTTAAACATTGAACTCTTGCCAGGATTTTAATGGCATCAAGTAATAATTTTCATTCAATAAATTACTAAATTAATGAACAGGCACAAAAGTATAATTTGAAAATATGAAAATAATTCTTTATTATATATCTGAAGCTTTAAAAAGAGATCCTTAAGAGTTATACTGGAACACATACACACACACACACACCGAGGGGTGTTAGCGGTGTCTTACTTCCACTGTATTTGTTTCCAGAGAGTAAGTCATCTGTGTACCAAATTTGGTTGAAATTGGTCAAGAGTTATGCTGGAAAATACACACGTACACAGCCATTTTTATATATATAAATAAAGCATTAACACATTTTTAATGCTTGAGTTAAATCAACATAACCAAGCTATCAGTGTATATACGAATATTGAAGCCTTACTCATTTTTAATTTGTTCTTTCCAACAGACACATCAGTATTTTCACTTATCTCTGAATTATTGAAAAATCACTGTACATCATAATGTTTCTTCAATGGTAAAAAGATAATCTGGACTCCTATTTACCATCTCTATGTTGCATAATTATGGATTAAATATAGAATAAAGCTGAAATGCTCATTACTTATAATGCTGCTTGATTCTGAAAAATTCTTTTTGGCATATAGATATGTGTTCTGACCCCCTCCTCCATCCAGTAACGAATGCCGAGAGAAGCTTAAATGAGAATGTCCTTTAATAACAAGTTCAGACTCTCGGTGTCTGAAACCCAAGTAAACAAACTGATAAGGACCTTGGCAGCAAGGCCGACAAACTTCGGCAGCAATTCAGACAAACTCTGGCAGCAATCCAACCTGCCAAGTTTGTTTCTCTTTAGTCAAAGTGTTGACTTCTGCAAGGGTGTGGCACAAGCAGTCTCTTTTATAGTCTGGAGAGGAGCCTAATGACCATCAGCTGAGCGTAATTACCTCCTGTAATTACGTAGTTGTTCTTGATGCCGAGTAGCTCTTCTTTTTCTTTAAGTTTTTATTTCTTTTAAAAAACACAA